CTCTGTCTCTCTATCTTTCTCTCACCCTACTCTATCTTTCTCTCTTCCTACTGACGAAAGCCTGCAATTTCACGCGCGATTTTAGTTCGTAGGCTTGACGCAGAGACAGACACGAGCAACCTAAGATTTCCTCACGACACTCGCGTTCTTTAGGATTAGGTTGATATAATACGTATCCACGCATACGCGGACGTCCTGACACGCGTACACGAGTACACACTGCGCGAGAGACGGGCGAAACTCGACGCATCCCTTCCTACCGGCTTCATACTCGAGGATCGTGAGTTCCTCGCGTGACCGTTTGTGGCGGAACCTCAGTAGTTGCACGAAACTCGGTATCCTCAACTCTGACTTATCAATCAACGATGATATTTATTTGTAATATTAAATCAACGTCTGTTCTTTTATTTCTTTAGTAAGAAACTGTCGTATTCGATTCTTTGTGATTGCATTCATTAGTATTCGGATTCGTAGCATTTCCACTGGAGTTTTGATTTCTTTTAATATATTCAACCTTCTCGAAGTACTTATAAAAATTATAATTAAATTAATATATAACTAATATACCATTCCTTTACTTACTCAATATAAATTAATATATAATTGTTTTTCGTAATCTTTGCAATGGAGCTTGAGCGTTGATAGAAACGATTATCCTTGTCCGAGTTTTAATTTAATTGAATTATATCTAACAACCGTACTGTTTCACAAATCATTTCTGCCACACGGTCTAAGAAACGCCACGATCAACGCGCAGCTGTCGAGGTTCCTCCAGTACCTTTCTTCCTGCACACCGCGACCCGTTCATCTTCCCCCGCATTCGTTCGCCCTCGACCCACTGCCCGCACATCGAGCTCCACTCCTCATTTCTCTGTCCAAAAAAGGAAAGAAAATCGACTTCTCGGACAACTGCTCAATACTTAGATTGCTCAAGCTCCGTGTCCGATCTGCAGATAAACGGGAAATCACCTATCAGGGAAAACAAACGGTCCACGTAAACGAGAACTCGCCGAGGTACTCGGGCGTTGACGAGACGTCGCTAACGCGGCACATAAAAGACAGAAGCAGGACAATGAATTTCAACGAAGACGGGAATATCCAGTGTCTCTTCCTTCCTATCGTCGTAATCTCGCCCCTCTTCCCCCTTTCCATTATCGCCACCTTTTTCACCGAATCCTCAGCGTCGTTTCACTCTGTCATTCTCGTTCCGTTCTCCCAATCGACAGATCGTGTACCAACCGCACCTCGCGAATAGAGAACAGTTTCTTTTAGCCGGTTAAAGAAAATGAATAGAACAGAAGGGAAAAAACGGAAAAAGGTGGAAAAAAAGAAGGAAGGACAAAGAGTGCCGACCCACTTCCCCCGGAGAATAATGATTCCACTTTTTATAGGGATCTTGTAACGAGGAGGTTTTTCTACGCCGATAATGTGTATTTTGCATAAAGGACAAGCAAGAGTCGAGAGATATTTTAACGAAAGGTATCGCGGTATTGTTATTATCCGACTGTTAGAATTATCGTAATTCTTAGTATTGTTACATTTAAGCCCGATCGCGACAGAGAAAGTTTTCACGGGCGCGAACTTTCCTCCGCCAGCCCCCTCTTCCCAACCCCTTTTTCCTCACGTTCCCACGGTTTTCCCCCTATTTTTACCAACGAAAACCGGCGCGTTGTCTAAGAGAACGCGGATATATTTTTGTTTCTTTTTCTTTTTTTTCTCTTTTTTGTTCACGAATCGCATCGGGATTTCACGATCGAATTTCCGTTGTCCTAACGCGCGCGCGTGCCACGGGCCGATGGTTTCGTTTGCCGGTCGATGATTCTCGTTCGTTCGGCTGATAAAACGACAGAGAAAAGATCACACGAGCGTCGCATCGCGTCGCGCGCAATTCGCTGCCCGATTCCCGCGGTGGTAAACGGCACCATGATGTGACCATTGACTTGTTCGTAAGACGGGTGAACGTTTTTCCTATTATTTATTTTTTTCTTTTTTTTTGTATATACATTATTGTCGTATTTATTTGTCAATAAAAAGCTTGCGAAACGCGGACACCAGAGGATTTCATCGACGTCTTCGTCTCCTACCTGCGGTGCATCCTGTCCTGATCTTTGAACGATTCGTCGGAACCGGTGACGGCAAGCTAACGACGGGTCGCTTTTGACCCATATCAGTATTACGTACTCTATACATTTGTTTTTTCTTTTTGTAGACAATATTATTTAATAATGTTTATATGATGTTAGAAAGGTAGAGAGTGTCTTAAGAAGACTGCGAATACTGGGAAGGACGTGAATCCATTTGCTAAGAATGTTTCCGCACTGCTTTGAACATTCATTGAAACGATTGTCATTGGTGTTCCGACGTGTTAATGAAAGCTATCTTCGCGGTAAACGTCGGTAAATGTTCTTCGACGATATTACGATTGAAGAAGAACACAAAAGGAAAAGTGTGATTAAAAAAATTGCTTTCCTGACCTTAGCAAACTCGAAAACTGACAAATTTTGAAAAATTGGAAAAACTTAAAGAACCTGAAAGATTTTTGAACTTGTAAAACTTTTTAAAAAACCTAGAAAGCATGAGAGATTTGAACATGGAAAAGAAATGTGAGAAATTTGAAATCTTGGGAGACTTCAAAACTTTTCAAGTGTTCCACGAACAATGAGGCTCATTATTTAGGTGACCAATTACATATTTCGTCGCGCAGAAACCGTCGCGGCTTTGAGAATTTTCCAACTGTCACGGTGTATTGTCAGAAGCGTTATTAACCTCGTTCGGCGGTTTCCGCGAACCTCCAAGAGCACATCGCGCCCAATTATCTTGCAGCGACGCCGTTTCCGACGTGGATACTTGTCTCGAAGCGAGGAAATTCCTTCTCGGGACTGCGCGGAATGATCGTCTCAAACGATCACGCCTCCTTTTGCAACTCTGTTGTTCATCTTAACCCGAGACTCGCGTCGCGTGCCCGTGCAACGCGAAAATTGCGACTTTCTTGGGAAACAAGGTTGCGGAACGTAATTGCCGATCGCTTGGGACGCCTCGCGCTCGAGCTTTGGAAAGCGGAGGATAGCGCAGAATTTTTCCGAGAAATTCTTTTTCGTTCGCGAGTCGCTTTCACTGTCCTCGACCAGAGGAAAGTACTGTCGTCGGCTCTTGTCCTGGGAATCACCCTGACACGTTCCGATGGGGTTACGTTTCCATACAAGTCGTCGATAGACGTTTTTTTTAAAGCTGGTTTAGTGGATACAGGTATTTTTTATTCGAATCATTTTTTTCAAACACTGTTGACATAAATGTTTTTCGTTACATTTATTAGGTTGCTTAAAGTTTTGTCATTTTATTTTCCACTGTGGCGTCTGTATCGTAAGGTACTAATAAATATTGCTAATCGGTAAACTAATAGGCTATAAAAAGTTCTCGAATAAAATACGCACCGCCTAGTTCAATGAAGTTTTAGTATACGTAATGATGTTTTTCTTTCAACTAAAAATGCGACAAGACTTCTTAGGCAACCTAATATTTTTTGGTAGAAATTATTTTCCGGGATCTTTTGTTAGAAATTTATTTCAGGCATTTGTTGTCACATTAATTTCTTCTTAGCTTAGGTTATTTTGTAACGTGTTGAGTAGTTAACTAAAATCTCCCTTTTCCTTGTAGAATCTAATTCTCGCGAATAAGAGATCGTTGAAGCTGGTAGCTTTCATTCGAACAGTGATAACGTTCTCTTAATAAATGTTTTCAAGCAAAGGATCCGTGGAACGTCACGAACAACTTAATGTATTATTTTTAGTGTCTTGAAGAGATTCGGGGCTCAAGTCACCCGACATCTTGAACTTAAAACGTAAGATTAGGAACCTATTTTACCGATGGTTGGCACTAATAGTTCCGTTTCGTATGTTCCCTCCGAATAGAATTTGAATATAAATAATCAGAAACAACAACGAAGTATTCCTAATCGGATTGAATCGAACCGAAAGGCCTGATGGTTTCATCGCTCGGAACAGTGAAATCTCGATTTCTCTTCGACTTCTCCCAAAGGACGTCGTTCTTCGGCGCAGAAGGAACGATCGGAAGAATGTCGCGTCCTCGTGATCGAGGATAGAAACGCGAAAAGAAGATCGTTTATTCTGAAACGATACTAACTCGAAACTAGAATCGGGAAAAATGTGATCTGATTATTACCAACGATGATTCAGATCTGATTACAAATCGTCGTTTCAATTACAAATTATCTCTGATAACGATCGGGTCGTACTAATCTACAATTCTGATAGGGGCAATTACGGTGAACCCTAATTAATAATTACAAGCAGCAACCCGCAATCAAACTGAAAGTTGCAT